TCTTCTGTACACGTGCTTCCACACTTCATACTGATTTCACCATCTTTTATTCTCACATTTTGAACACGGACATGGTAACTTTGAACTCTTAAGATACGACGTTTGACTTGTTGCAAACACCATAAAATGTTGTAACCCTTTCTCAAACTCACGCGAGATTTGATTATTATTAGAAGAATCAAATCTATTATACATCCACATTCTGGAGGAGAAAGACATTTTTTTTGGAAACGAAGATTTTTTTTCTATACAACTCGAGTAATGCACACGCGGTTGATTTATAGTCAATTATTGCGACGGATTTGCGACAGACACATCCGTCGTGACACAAATGCGACAGAATCCCGATAGATTAGCGACAGAAGTTGGGTGACACACGAATCACATGCCTAACTAACTTCGCGATGCACCGAAATTATCGCAAATGTGTCGCATAATTGCCGCGACGCATTGACTCTGTCGCAAATGTGTCGTACATGTGTTACGACAGATACTTATGTCACATATTGTGTCGGTAATTACCGACAGACGATGTGTCGCAATATTTTCGTAGCTTTCTGTCGTTATTTGTCCCCAATATATCCGATACAAAAATGTGTCGTTCACCATCGTAATTTTGCGATCGTTTTTGCGTCTGATTGCGACAGAAGTTCGATTTCACTATTCTGTCACTGTTCAGTATCTGTCTGTCGCAACATGTGTCGGAAATAATAGTTTTTCTTGTAGTGCATATTGACATGCAATATTTTAATTTTAAATCTCACATCGAACGTTATTATCTAAATCGTATAGTCTTGAATGAAAATTTTCAATTCAAATTTAAATGTTCCATATGAGAACTTGCTCTTTTTATTTGGAAGCTCTTTCCTTTCTCTTGATCATATTTTTTGAGGTGGGACAAACGCACTTATAAGAAAGCCTCCTTCCTTCCTGTAGCTTCCATGATCTATGCGGACAAATTTTACCACAGTTTTATATTTTTTTTCAAGTAACCAATTTTAAATATTAATTACTCATTCACCACAAATTGGTTTTAAAAAATTCAAAATGTTATATCTATTCATTTAGTAGATTTCATTTATAGCATTTAATTCAATATTCCATTATAGAAGGGTGACTTAAAATTTGGCTCAAAATTGGATTTTTACCACAACATATAAAACCAATTTCTTTAATGTTTCTAACATAAGGTAGATGACCAGTATATATGAATGGTGATATGGTGAATTCGGGTAATACTACAGTATAATCGGTGTCAGATTAGTAGGTAGAGATAGACGCGGGTACTTGAGATTTGAGGGTTTTCGAATATACCCAGTCTCATGGGTACTCGGAACACGGGTGCTTGCACGAAGACAAAGACGGGTGCGATGAGACCAATAATCCGGATTGTGGGTTCAGGTTCGAGTCTTAGAAACATGATGCAAATATACGAATCGATCCTCGAAGTTTTCCAACCTCGAAGTTTTCCAATCGAAAAGACTAAAGTTGGGTTTACAAATCCTCGCAACGTTTTATCCTTCTATATGGGCGTTGGATTTTTCCATATTCTAAAATGTTTAGTTTTGAGATTGCGGTTGCAAAAAGTGATTATGAAATGCACGACTTATATTTTGGGCAAGTTGAGGAATTGGGCAAAGATTACGTTACGTGGTCTAATCTCTGACGTTGATATTTATTCTACCATTATTTTACTGTTTATAAAATAAACATTTTAAAATTAATTGAGTTTAGTTAGTAAAGTAAAAGTTTTTCCTTTCCTCAATCATATAAAAAAAATCTTTATTTACGGGCTTTTGTTTCTTACCGTCTCCGGACTTAGGACTCTCACCATGGCACAAACTTGTCTGGTGCAAATTTCACACGCCAAAATACTCATTCATTGTGTGGTTGTTTGCACATGATCGAATCCCAACAAAGGATCGCATGGCGTCATGGGGTTTGCAGGTTGATACAAAATGCCTATTTTGTGGCCGTGATCCTGAAAATAGGAGTCATCTTTTGTTCGAATGCTATAACACAAGTGACTTATTTACATGGGCCATGAGGAAATGGGGTACACCTCCAATGCACACTTCATGGGAAGATATTCTGGACTGGTTGCTAGGCCGATGAACATGCAAAACTCGGTTATTGGGAGTCCAATTCACGTGGCAAACACTGTTTTACATTGTTTGATTGGAAAGAAATTCTAGACTACATACGGGGTGCTTCAAGTATTTGTCTACCATCCGTAGAGATATTGATCGTTGTTTTCGAAACAAGATGGCGGCCATTCGATTTTCACTCCATCAGTTGGCTAGCTCCTTGCTCCAAATTTGGTTCTCCACTCCTTGACCGGTGCTCCAAACTTCTTGTTCATTGTTCACTTACTCGCTCACATCCTCCTTTGCTTTGCTAAACATGTTACTCAGTTAGAGTACCCCTTGTAAGCCTTCCAGGTTACATAACTATACTTTTGTAGGTTGGTTAAATTCTTGTAGTACTTGATTATTATATATCAATACAAATACACCTTTTAACAAAAAAAAAGAGAACTTTATCGAAGGAAAAAAGATAATTTAATTGTTTTAAAAATTCAATAAATCGAAATGAACGGAAATGAAAAATTTATTGATGTAATGCCGATGTATATATGTATGTTATCTAATATAGATTTCTGAAATAATCTATTATTACTGATAAATCGAATATTTATTTTAAGCAAATTGTAGTCATAATACTTTTTTTTTTGGTATAATTGTAGTCATAATACTTGTCAATTTTAATTCGAATTAATTCAAAATCACATACAATATTAATTTTGAAAAATTATCTAAAATAGCCAACAACACATTTGCTAGTACAAAGGCAAGGATAAATCTCATCTCTCCTAAATTTAATTGGATGATGTGCAAACTGAACTATAGTTGCAATCTCTCTTTGAATACTATCTCGTAAATATTGAATATGGACCGACCAAATTTAAAATTTAAATCAATGAGAATAAAAGATGGGGACATTTAATTTGCCAATTCATACCAATTGTACGGTTTGATTTGACACTAATCCGGTTTATTAAATGTATACAAAACGTTGTTAATGTTAACCGGTCTTTCTTTTTGTCATTTTTCTGTTTGTCTCGTGAGGTCCATTTTTGCCTTTGTATTTGGCCAATAACTTTGAATATGCATCAGAAAAAAGTGTCGTCTGACTCTTCGTTCAAACAAGAGATCGACAATTTGACACGTCAGCTATATATATATATATCGTATGAGTCAAACTAATAATGACTATTAATTCCTCTTTAGCCATATTTAATTCTCCACAAAATATAAACATTAACAATGTGTACGATAATAATGACTAATCTCATAACATTTAAAAATTTTAAAAATTATTTTTAAACATATTAATCTCATAACATATACAAATTTCTTGTAATAAAAAAACTAAATAAAAAAAATTAATGAATTTAAATATGGAAAAAATACAATTCCGCTTTGACTAATGATTTGTGTGCGTGAACAAAATACCAAGTGAACAAAAAAACAACAGAACCGGACAAAATATTTATTTTGGAGACATCTATAAACAAAATTATAATCTCATTTAACGTTAAATTGCATAAATTACATTTTCTTTGGAGTAATTTATTCGAATTCATGAGATGTTTTTGGAAACCATATTATATTCATGTCGGCAATTAATGATACTGCGGAGATATATACGCATACACCAAGTCAATTCGGACATGAACTCTCTTTTCGCAAACTTACATGAGAATCACCGACGAATCATTGTTTTTGATAAAAGCGAATTTTCAATTCGATTTCAGAAGATGATTCGGTCGTGTCATCTCCGTCTGAACACGCTCCCACAATTTCAGCACGTGATTTATATGCTAGCCGTTAAAATTCCATTTTCAATTAAAAATAATAATACTAATATTTTTAAACCAAAAATAACGACTACACAATGGATACAGTGGCGGTTCACATTTTCGGATTCTCCATACTTTTTTTTCTATTAACTGGTTTTAATCAAAGTTTGAATTTTAATTCTGGGAAAAACCGAACATATTGCAATTAAAATATTTTCAAATTTATTATTATGTGGGACCTACTGTGATTTTTTATTATCATTTTAGTAACGTTTAAAGCACATTAAAACCATTTATAATTTAATTTAGGTAAGACGACTACATAGCAACAACAAAAAATGTGTAAATTTGCATCCCCCACCCCCCCTTGGGTTGCCATTACTAATAATGTACTGCTGCTTAATTTGTTAAATGATGGCCAGTTTGTAGAAAATTGAAAGAGTGTATCGGGCATAGTAAAGTATCTTGGAACTCTCCTATAATTATAATATACAAATTCTAAAAAAAATAATGAAAGAAAAATCAATGAATTCTTACATTGAAAAAAAATATATATATTTTTTTGTAACGGTGAAAAACCAGTTACAACCATTCGAACGTTGTGATAAATCTTCCAACTCTACGCAATAGCGTGTAAATCACGTGCAATATGCGTTATGAATTTATATTTTCAGAGAAATCCAAATTAATCCATAACAAGTAATTCAATCTTTTACAATGTTTGTTCCACAATTTAAAAGATTAATCAAGTATTTATGACAGAAAAAAAAAACAAGCTCTTGGGTATAACAATTAACGAAAATTAAGTTTGAGATTTTTTTAAAAAAAAATGGGATTGACGATTTTTTTTTATATATTGTTTGAAATGTATCATAGCTAATAATAAACATATACCCCCCTTCACGTAGTAACATGGATTGCATCACATCTATTGGAAGGTGTAATTCAAATTATCTTTTTCTTTTATATAAACTATACATATTTTTACTTTTAAAAGAATTATAAATATTTCACCAAGTGATACTATATGTACGACGGCTGCTGTAGACATTGACATGCCAAATCATTCCTACTATATAAAGCGTATTTGCTCTCACTTATCCATAGTGAAAAAACACACACATTTTATATATATTGTTCCAACGACAATTTGTTTTTTTTTTTTAAAGGTGGCGCAGGAGATTTACGTGTGGGCTCACAACGTGGCGAACCGTCGTGAGTCGAGCAGCTACGCCGCCGCGGCGGCCGGAGAGAAGGAATACTACAAAAATGTGGAAGAAATTGCGAGGATCATGAACGAGCCTGAGCATGTTCCGGCGAGTTATGACTGGTCGGCTCCCGACATGTCCGCCATGGTTTCGGCTTTGACCGACGTTGTCTCCGGCGATTCCAAACCCTCTGTCTCCGTCAGCAGATTCACGAGTTCTTCTTCTTCCTCGTTGAGACTCAAGAGAGGACGAGAAGAGTACAATCTGGCTTCTGATCAAGTCCCGGTTTCTTCAGTTATAGCCCGAGCTGAGACCGGTACACTTTCCAAATAACCAAACTAAACCGAATCAAATTAAACCGAAATTTTATAAACGTTGTGTATATTGATAGTTCTGTATCCAATGGAACAGTGACAGAAGAAGAGGGTGGAAGCTCCAAGGGGAGGCCGAGGAGATACAGAGGCGTGAGGCAAAGGCCGTGGGGGAAATGGGCGGCGGAGATAAGGGACCCACACAAGGCGGCGCGTGTGTGGCTCGGAACCTTTGACACGGCTGAGGCAGCCGCCAGGGCTTACGACTCGGCCGCCCTTCGCTTCAGAGGTTGCAAAGCCAAGCTCAACTTCCCTGAAAACGTGACCGCCCTTGACCGCCACCCTCCTGATCCAAATCCCCAAACGCAAACCCAATCGCAATCGCTTCCTTCTGCTACGGCGTCGTTTCATGGTTTCGGGTATGGGAAAGGGGCGGCGGAGATAAGGGACCCCCACAAGGCGGCGCGTGGGTGGCTCGGAACCTTTGACACGGCTGAGGCAGCCGCCAGGGCTTACGACTCGGCCGCCCTTCGCTTCAGAGGTTGCAAAGCCAAGCTCAACTTCCCTGAAAACGTGACCGCCCTTGACCGCCACCCTCCTGATCCAAATCCCCAAACGCAAACCCAATCGCAATCGCTTCCTTCTGCTACGGCGTCGTTTCATGGTTTCGGGTATTCACCTTTTGAGAGTCCGCGGTCTGGTCAGTTCTTGGTTGACTCTGGTGGTGGGTCCACGTTGCAGCCGCCATTGTTGTACGGACAAGGACAGGACGCGACGTCGTTTTCACCTCGGTATATGTTTCAGTCTCCTCCAGCGAATCCGTGTGATTCGCCATGCCGCCGGTGATGGGTGTTTCTCAGTCGTCGGAAAATGAAGGCCTTTTCTATTTGCCTCCGTGGTCCGGAAACGGTTACGACCGTTGTTCCTCCGGTTAATTCCGGTTCTATCGTTATTTTTCTCTTTGTATTTGCATTTATTTATTTAATTCAGTGTCCTCTTTTAAAAGCATTAGCCATCTGACTCTCTCTTGGGATTGGCTCTGCAATTGAAAAACCTTGGTTAGAATTATTCAAGGGAAGAAAGGGGAACGATAAAATGGGAAATAAACCTTGACAAGAATCATATTAGTCTCGGTATCTTGATTCATAACATCCGATTATTCAAAAAAAGTCGATCAAAGTATATGATTTTAAATTCGAACGTGAATGAAAAATAAAATATAAATATTAGTTGGTTTTCGAGAAATCGAGCTTTGATATAAGCATTAGACAGAGTCAAAAATCGAATTTTCCAATCGTATAAACAAGAATGGTACAGTTTTCCGGTCTTATTTCAAAATTTTAAGTATTCAATCTGTTTGAAGAAATAAAACATATTTCGAGTATGTGTGCGGGTTTCGGTTTGAGTTCGATTAGAGAATTGTTCGGTTCAATTTTTTCGATTCTTCGGTTATTATTTCATATTTGATTAATATTTGTTTTTTGTTAAGAAAATTTTAAATTTTTAAAATTCAGTTTTTCAGATTTTTTAAAATTCAATTCGGTTTAATTCTGAAAAAATCGGTTTCTAAAAAAATGACTGTTTAAATATTTTAGACGATCCAGTTCAAAAAATATTATCATTCCATAGTTTCTTTGGATTTAATTCAGATTCAATTTTGTAAAAAATATTCAGTTTCTAAATTTTGGATATGGTTATTTATTATTCAGACCAAAACCAAACAAAAGAATCGTTTCGTAAACCTGACCGAATCATGCCGATTTCAAATTCCGTCTGAATAACATAAGTATCTAAACCAAAAGCCAAATGCCCAGTCGAATCGTGACGGCGGTGGTGATTCTCTGTTCTGGTTTAATCTAATTCCTGTGCCCAAACAGCCTCTAGAACGATATGGAGAGACAGGAAACATCATCCTTCGACATTGATTTCATCGATGAACAAAAAACAAAAGCAAGTAACAAAAAAATATGATAACAGAAGAAAGAAGAGTCAGAAATCTCGTGTGGAAAAGCTTCCGCTCATTGCGCCCACAAGACGCTGCGGTCTTTTACAATGCGATTTCATCAGTCTCCTCAGAAAAGAATGAAATCTTCAAACCTCGGGAAACAAAGATGATAAAACCCTAATTTTGTCTCAGAAACCCTAAATAGAACGATTTGGCGGAAGAATCAAACGACGAGGCAGCGGAAGAGAGATTATATAGAGGAAGAAGACGATGATGAGTCACTGCCCTAATTTCAGTCTTTTTTGGGCTTTTTAAAAATTTTAATTTTTTATTGGGCTTTTTAAGGCCCAATAAGAAAGTGGTTTTTAGGGTTAAAGCTTCGGCATTGTATAACGATAAAACTAGGGTTTAGTATCACTTTCCTCTTCGTAGTTCGCAGCTTGGGAGCGCTTAGCTGCAGGAGGCACGACACGAGAGTCTCAGGTTACTCTCTCGTCTCTCTCCTCTTCTCTAGATTCCTCTTGTTTCTCGAGAATGTGTCGAAAAATATCACTTTCCTCTTCGTAGTTCGCAGCTTGGGAGCGCTTAGCTGCAGGAGGCACGACACGAGAGTCTCAGGTTACTCTCTCGTCTCTCTCCTCTTCTCTAGATTCCTCTTGTTTCTCGAGAATGTGTCGAAAAATGTTCTTGCAAATCATTTCCATAGGTCGATGGTAGATTGGTGATGCATAAAATGTCATCTCCACTTCTGATTTCTGAACTTTGGATATGGGTTTATCGTCGCGGTGCAATTTTGAATTTGAATCACCATGAAATCTTGGCCGTCTCTGATAGAGGAATCAACAGTTGCGTAATTATACTGTTTCATCATAAGCTCTATGTATTGTATCTTGCTAGTGTATTATTCAGTAATCCTGTGGTGGATAGTGATCATAGCGCAAATGGTTCTTTTTTCCCCTGATAATTTTGTCTCGTGATAAATAAATTATGGATTTGGGTGAAACAGGAGGAGAAAAATGTCTCACAGGAAGTTTGAGCACCCAAGGCACGGTTCCCTCGGTTTCCTTCCGAGGAAGAGAGCAAACCGCCACAGAGGAAAAGGTGCTTTTTTGAACATTTTTGTTGTTTTGTTTGTCTTGGAGGGTTGATATTCTTTCTTTGTTGATCTTATGAAATCAGAGAGTTTTGATTTATGATTTGGTGTATTTGTAGTTTTCTCTACTTCTATGGGTTATGGCCTATGGGGTTTTGCTTACTTGTTAGTTTTGATTTGAGAGCAGTGAAGGCATTCCCCAAGGATGACCAATCCAAGCCGTGCAAGTTCACGGCCTTCATGGGTTACAAGGCTGGTATGACCCACATTGTCAGAGAAGTCGAAAAGCCTGGATCCAGTAAGTTGTTCTGAAGTATTTTATATTGGTTTTGCAATCTTGTTTAAAGCTTGATAATTACATGCTCTAACTGTATCTCTCTCCCTTGTGTAGAGCTCCACAAGAAGGAGACTTGTGAGGCTGTCACCATCATTGAGACACCTCCAATGGTGGTTGTCGGTGTTGTTGCCTATATCAAGACCCCTCGTGGACTTCGTTCCTTGAACACTGTTTGGGCTCAGCATTTGAGCGAGGAGGTCAGGAGAAGGTTCTACAAGAACTGGTGCAAGTCCAAGAAGAAGGCCTTCACCAAGTACTCCAAGCAGTATGAGACTGATGAGGGCAAGAAGGATATCCAATCTCAGCTTGAGAAGATGAAGAAGTATGCTTCTGTCATCCGTGTTTTGGCCCACACTCAGGCATATTGCTCAATCTCTCTACCTCTCTTTTAGTTGTAAATTAGGTTGGTTTCTGTACAAATCCTGTAACGGCCATCAATACAGATAAGGAAGATGAAGGGTTTGAAGCAAAAGAAGGCACATCTGATGGAGATCCAGGTCAATGGCGGGACTGTTGCACAGAAGGTGGACTTTGCATACGGTTTCTTTGAGAAGCAGATCCCGATCGATGCGATTTTCCAGAAGGATGAAATGATTGACGTTATTGGTGTCACTAAGGGTAAGGGTTACGAGGGTGTCGTCACCCGTTGGGGAGTTACCCGCCTTCCTCGCAAGACTCACAGAGGTCTACGTAAGGTGGCTTGTATCGGTGCCTGGCATCCTGCTAGAGTATCCTTCACTGTGGCTAGGGCTGGTCAGAATGGTTACCACCACCGTACTGAGATGAACAAGAAGGTCTACAGGATCGGTAAGGCTGGTCAGGAATCTCACTCAGCCATGACAGAATATGACAGGTAAGTATATATTTTACCGATTACCTGGTGTTCTCTGAGAGGGATACCTTTTGTTTACTGATAATAAAAACCCGTGGAACAGAACTGAGAAGGATGTGACACCAATTGGAGGGTTCCCTCACTATGGGGTAGTGAACAGTGATTACTTAATGATAAAGGGATGCTGCATGGGTCCGAAGAAGAGAGTGGTGACCCTTCGCCAGTCGCTCCTCACCCAGACTTCCCGATTGGCTCTCGAAGAGATCAAACTCAAATTTATCGACACATCCTCCAAGTTTGGACATGGCCGTTTCCAGACCACCCAGGAGAAGCAGAAGTTTTTCGGTCGGGTCAAGGCTTAGAAGACTCTGCCATATTCATCTGTTGCCTAAGCTGTTTACGTCCTGTTTCAAGTGTTTTTTTGTTTTTCCATTGTCTGTCTTGAAACCTTGAGAGAGGCTCCTCCGTAACATTCTCATCAGCTTTG